CCCCAAAACCCCAAAACCCCAAAACCCCTTATTTCTTTTACCAGTAGAATACAATATAATATATGTCTAACATGAGACAGAACAAGTCGAAGGTAAGCTAACAGAAGAGTCTGGCTTATGTCTCCAGCAAGGGAACTCTCATTCTTTGGTTTAAAACCCATCCTAGATAGCTCCTCGTAAGAACTTTTACTAACTTAGAGGTGATTTTAGTTTTGACAGTTCACATTAAGTTTCCATTATTGGAAATTTAGCTTTTCTTCATATATTTTGGAACCGGCAGGATTACCATTTCGCTTCCTACCTAGCTATTTTTGAAAGGCCTTTCATGAAGACCAAAAAGTTCCTCATCGAATTTGATAGGGACTTAGGTTAGCTGTTTTCTCTAAAAATAGGGTGCCATGAGTCAAAATGTCTTTTTATGAAGCCAAGAGGTCTAATAATATATGTCCATTTTGAATCTATAGCAATACTACCCTATTTTGGGCACTTAGCCAAGATTCAAGTAATGAATGCTTTGCTCTAGACTTCAAAGGATACTAAAGATATTGCCCAGCCATCAACTCTGAGGTATACTAAACAAAGGAATGGGAATGAAAAAATTGCAATGGAAAAATGGAAGGAAGAGAAACCAGTCACAGAGCGAAAATAACTGAGGGTGGAAATTTCTGTTCACCCTCATATTTATAGCTCTTGAGATTATCCTGGTCTGTGCTATCTTGGTTCCCTACCTTGTAATAGACTTCTCTTGGATAGCCAGCAGCCTTTTGGTCTTTATTATCCTGGTGTGATATATTCTGATCATAATCTTCTATCTTATGTGTGTATTTATTGATACAGAACAAAGAGATCCTGGGTTACCAAACTCAGTTTCTCCTGATAAGCGTAAGTTTTGGCTATTTTTCCTAAAATTTATAGAGAAGGATATTAAATGATGAAAGTTATGAAAGATTCAGATCAATCCAGGCACTGTTCATTGATTCCACTGTCATAAATGAGTTGAGAATTTCGATCATCATTGAGCATGGATAAACCAGTGCATAGCAAAGGCTAACCATAAATACTACATTGCCCTGCTTTTCGTGTGCATTATCTCTTCTGTGCTGACAATCTCGTTGGTCATAACTTTCTTGGCCAATTTTGAAAATTCTGCCTTTAAAGAGTAAGCATCAGTTAAATCATCTATATAGGGAAGTTTTTAATATTGACGGAAATTTTTACATCTTTGCTACAATTTGGGTTGCCTACCTGTGATTTAAGACATTCTCAACTGCTTCAGTGATGTTTTTGGCAATGTTCCACCTTTGGCTGCTCAAGAAGGGAACTACAACTTATCATTTTCTGAAATCAAGAAGGAATGCTAAAGTTGACCAGATGAACGAATGCGTAAAACCCAGTATTTCTGAGCCAAAATTTTGCAGAAATAATGGTAACAGATTGTTGTAAAATTTAGCTACACTTCAAGCACATGCTCAAGATTCCTCAAGCAGGGAGTTGAGCTGTGAGATAAATGAAAATCGTGAGCCTGATAAGAGATGTGAAACTTCACGTGATTCACTAGTTGCTTCAAAGAGCCATAATATGGCAAATGATCACGGATTAAGTTTTATAAGCTCTCAGTTCATCTCTAAAAGTACTCAGTTGAGTCATTGCTATAGAGAATACTTTCAAACCTGCTGTAATGTCAGTTTCAAATGGTACTTTGCAGACTTTAGCTCCTATCACCCAAGTGTCAGAGACACTTGGGTCGGCCAAGAAGTTGCCAAGACTAAAAACCCAATTGAAGAGGAAGCCTCAACCTGCCAAGGATGACCACTTGTAGGTGAGGTCCTAACCCTTAACAAATATTTGCAGAATCATCGATATATCTCCTTAGGTTTCAACCTATTTCGAAAATAGTGGGGTTTTGGGGTTTTGGGGTTTTGGGGTTTTGGGG